TCAGGGATGGAGCATTCACCGTCCCTTTGGGCAGCCTGTGCCAGTGCCTCAACACCCTATCATGCAGTGATCAAGCAACCAACCGATGCCCCAAACAATGCACACACCCTTGCCTTTCCCTCTGTGCCTCCATCCATCCACTGGAAACGCTCCGTGTGATGGGGATGCTGGGGAGCGAAGCCTTTTTGTGCTGTTTGCATGCCCAGCTCCTAAGAAAGCTCCTAACAAAAGCTCCTTGGCACCACAATGAGTCAAGGAACAGCATTTCTGGAGGAGTGAGCAACGTGGGAGCAGCCCCAGCTTTGCCATGACAGGTTTCTGCATTGCATTACAGAGAGGATGAGTGTTCACAGTGGTTAGGGGAGCGCAGCGCTGCAGGGGCAAGCTCTGATGCAGATGTATGTGATGGGTGGTCCCAATGTAAGGACATCCATGGGTGAAGCATCACCAAGATGCTGGATGCTGACATCCAAAGAGCCCTCTAGGTCAGGGTGAGAAGCCTTGTATTGTTATCTCCATCTTACGCACCTGAATCAGAGACACTGAATGACTCTCCCAAGGTCAATGGGGAAGCAGTGGTAAAGCTTGTTCTGAAGTCTCACCTAGACCGCCTTCTTCCCGCAGTCCTTCATGGGCTTCCCCTCTCTACTTCCATACAATTGCTGGAGGCATCAGGCAGTGAGTTGAAGACAGGGTTAAAACCCATGGGTGAGGAGAAAGAAGGTGGAATTCCCATTGTGTTCGTGCATGGTGGGTTGCAGGTGCTATTGTTGTGTTTTGGCTGTGACCATTTATGAAAGGTATGGAGGGAGATAGGGATAGCTTAGTATCATAGAGATAGTTTAGTATCAAAGGGGCAGGAAGATGTTCAAGGAGTCATTGCAAAGAGGAGAATCAGAAAGAGGGGACAGAATGATCCATAATGGGACAGAAATGCACAGCTCCACCTGATTTGATCCCCTCTTTACTCATAGGTACCAAGAAAATCAGGTTCCCTTCGTGCTGCCCAGGCCCAGCCTATAGGCCACACAGCCATAGCAGAGGGTTGCATCCCACTTCCAAGCATCCCATGGACACAAGCTTGGTACCAGCTTTGGGGTTTGGATGCAAACCCTTCCTTGAGATGATATTAGATGGACAGAATTACCCTCCACGGTCAAACCAAGGCATATCCCTCATTGCCATCAGTGTGGGTGCAAGCAGACACTGGAGGGTAGCCAGAGCCTGCTGGCTTTGGTGTCAGGGACCCACATCCATCCTTCCCTGGGCAACTTCCATCTCATCCCATGCACAGTCGATGGTTTTCCCCGTGGATATTGCTCCAGGAAATAGGCTTTCAACAGGCAAACACCACTTTGTGGCCTGTCCAGTGCTGCACAGAGGCACCAGCTCCCTCTCGTGGGCTTAGCCTGGCTCTCTGCACTGGAAACCATCCAGAACTCCCCTTTCGTGGCTATTCCCCCACTTCAGAACATTCCTCAGTGCACAGACATGGATGTTTCATGGAAAGGTGCCAAATTCCATCAAGATTCCTCTCGGAGGCAGGGTTTTTATAGCTTTGTCACCTTTTTCTCTTCCCTTTCTCACTGAGGCTGGGATTCAAAGCAACCAATTTAGGCATGTACGAGGTTGGTCTCTATGATTCACTTGCTTGAGGCTTCTGAAGAGATTTGGGGGTCTCCACTGAGCCCTTCAAGCATCACCTTTGATGCCTGCCCTACTAAGGGGAGATCACCCTAGAGGTGCAACTGAGGCATTCAGCACTTAGATAAGTCAATGAAAGCCATGGCACGACTCCCCAAAGGCCATTTCAGTTTGCAGGGCTTGAAATCGAGTTTCATGAAGTCAAAGCCAAGAAGTGGAAGGAAAATAAAGATTAAAACAAGATTAAAACAACTTTTTTTTTGATTCATACCACAAAAATGGGTTTAACCTCAAAAAACTGCCTGGGAAATGCTGTGATCTCAGCTTTTAACTTTGGTTGGAAAACTGTTTACCCCAAAGAGCTGGAATTTCCCCCAAATCTGAATTTCCTGCAGCATTTCCACCCAATGCTCAGTATGAAGAGTCCAGAGAGGGCTTTGTCCATCCTGCAGCACACCCTGGTACCTGCTGGGCACAGTCAGGTCACTTCTTCCCTCTCCCTCCTCCCTAGGTTGAGTGATCCATCAGGTCCCACCAGTGTCCTGATGATGCTGGACACCCCACAAACCAAATGGGGACCTCATGCCCTTGCTCTGAGTTAGGCAACACATCAGGGGCTTCAGTGCTTCAGGAAGGTGGTTTGGTGTTTTCCTGCCTGGCGTGATGCTCATCTCAATGGCATGAGTGGAAGTGGGACGTATGGGGTGGCTGCTGGCCATAGAAAGGCTTGGATGCCCTCATCTGATGTCCCCTGCCTGGGGTACCACTGCTTGCCTTTTTGCAAGGCTTTATAGCTCCATCCTGCTTCCAGCACTGCTCCAGCCTTGCCCACACACACAGCTTGGTGCAGGGCTATATTTAACGCATGGCTTTGGTTGTGTGAGGCTGTAAGCTGGAGCTCCAATAGCAGAGGGGAAGGGTGACAACCACATACAGCAAGTCCAACTGTCTTAGAGGCTGGACCCGAAGGAACCACACCACAGGTACCCCTGACAACCATCCCATGAGGCCCTTAGGTATTTAATCTGCTGGTTATTATCTGCAACCTGGCATTTATGATGACGTTTGTGTTTGTTGCTTCATTTCAATGCTGCTTGTGCCAGCTCCAGCCACTGAAAGGACTCTGTGTTTGCTTTGTGCTGCCCTTCCAAGTGCCACACTTGGGCACTTCTCTCTCCGAGGACCTTTCTCCATGCCTTGCACTGGGGTCTGTTAGCCCCTTTGGAGGACAACAGCCCTCTCTCTGTCTCCATGTCTGCCTGGTTGGGTATCCCCTCTCCTGATGCCTGTGCTAACGCTGTGCCAAGTCTCTGTAATATATTCCTCCCACATCCTGGAGCATCTCCAGCTCTGCTTTTGCAGCGTGGGATGCCCCAAACCACTTGGATGTTGCACCTGAGGGGATGTTCCACTTGTGCTGGGGAGAGCAGAAGGGTTCCTTCATCTCTATCCTACCTCTCCCATCACCATCACATCTTTGAAGAGGGTCAGTGAAGCTCAGTGCAGTCTATGGTGATGGTAACAACTAGTTCCTTTCCACACAGTGCACAGCCCCTCACTGTTTAGGGTCCTCCAAGCAACTTTCAAACCCAAGGGGTGGATTCTGCCTTGCACAATAATGCAGCAAGGGGCACAGGTGATTTTCTGGACAGCCTCATCCATGTGTCAATGGCTTCCATTTCTCCATGGTTCCAATTTGCCCTGATTTCTGGTAAAAATCAGTAGTTAAGAATCACACCCACCTCTTCTTCCTCCCTGAGCATCTCGGATGTGTTGGAGAGGAGGAATGGCCACCAGAGCAGGGGAGGATGGCAGATTTCAATGCCCTTGTGCTGCAGTGCAAGGGGAATAGCTCTTCAACTATGCTCATGATGACTTACTTCCCCTTACATTAGCTATGACAAGAATGCTTTTCTGCAGCAAACCAAACCAAGCTAAAATAAAGCCATTTTTGCTTTAAAGTGGGAAAAATATACCCATTCCCAATTGTGTTTTCCTGCAGACTGTAGGGGGATTATGTCTCTGCTACAGCAGGACGTGTAAATCCAACACAATGAAATATTAATTATTAGAGTCTATCCAACTGGGATTCCTCACTGCTTTCATGAGCTGAATAATTCTGGCACACAGGAACCAAACCACACAAGTCCCCTTGGTTCTTTATATGAGGAAATATTGTGTGAGGAGTAAATGAGGGCTGAAGGAGAAGAGGGGGCTTGGATGGCTCCGGGGTGAAGAAGAGGGTATGGAAGAGATGGTGCTCTAATGAAGAGGTAAAGGGAGGTGCATCACCCATCGCGGCTCCTTCGGCATGGAGATGTGCCCTCGCAGCGTGGTGTAACTGTGAGAAGGAGGGTAAAGGAGAGTAGAAGTCGATTAATAAGTGAGCACACACATCTCTGAAGAGCCCTGTTATGCAGCACTTCAGAAGGAAGCATTCATCCAGCACAGCCCTGGGCACCAGCCCAAGGCAGACACGCTCAGCACAGCTCAAAGCCCCTTTTGTCCCCTCTCCTTGTTTACCAGCTTTGGGTTTGAAGCACAGCATAGAGTGTCATCCCGTGGCTAAGCAGATCTGGGAACTCAGGGTAACCCCAGTTTAAGCTTTTCCATGCTTTTTCTAGGGGAAAGTGCTGCTTGGGAGGAGGGAGAAGCATCCCGCAATGAGAATTCTCTGCATTCTCATCACCTTTTCATCTTCCTTTTACCCTGATTTCTCTGCAGCCTCTGGAAACTTGGACATGAAATATTTGGCCTCTCTGAAATCTGTATTCTTCTCTTATAAACGCCTCCACTGTTCCTCAGCAGCTCGACCCAAATGCTGCAAATGCTTCTCATCGTCCTTTGGGAGATGTTGGAGGAACAGGTAAATGGAGGGTTGGCTGGAAGACACGATTCCAAGTGGTAGGTCCAGGGCAAGTTCCGGCCCTGGGTAAGGTCACCTGGCTTGGAAAGAGCCACAGGCAAGCAAGGGGTGATGAAGGACAGCTGCTGGAAGTGGAGGTGGGGAGAAAGACTGCAGATGTGTGCAGATGTGCACAGATGTGCAGATGAGCACCAAGAGGAAGAGGTACATGGCTGATGTGGCTGACTCTTAGTGGGGCAGAGGGGGATGTCGCTGTCCCTAGTTGGGGCTGGGAAAAGGGAGGGATGGAGGGGGTAAGGGGTGCAAGGGAAGAGATTTGTGGTTAGCACCCATTATAGGTGAGATATATAGACAGATATAGATACAGATATAGATGATATAGATATAAATGAGATGTAGATGTAGATGTAGATACAGATATAGATAGATAGATGATATAGATATAGATACAGAGATCTAGATATGTAAAAGCTCAAGTTTCTATATACAGGACAGCCTTTTCCCCTTCCCCAGCAGCAACCCTGTGAGTTTGCAGTTTCCCTTCTGAGCTGGTGCAGCAGGGTTGTTATTTTTGCCCACCTCTCTGTGTGACTCCCAAATGCACCCAAGATAAGGAAGATTGCAGGAGAAACCCCTACAGGGATCTGCAGGACAAGCAGAAGCAGAATCTCTCTCCCCCAGCCTGCAGGACATAGCATGATCACTTCTCCATCAAGCTGCCAGGGCGACAGAGCTCAAGCATGAGAAGCAAGTGAGAAGCTACAGGTTGGGAAGCAGCACAGGGAAGACGTGGTGACCATAATACTTTATCTATTCTGCAGTGTGTTTGATGTCCATACCCTCCTGGGGGGATCTGACCATGCTCTTCAAGCCTTCAGGAGCCACTTCGTTCCACCATCACTGAGCAGGTGAAGAAGGACACCCGCATGGGACACCAAACCACCTCAGTCCTTAGCTAGCCTGGGTCCTGGGCACGCACTCAGGTTGCACAAGAAGGACTGGCAGCAATAGGAGGTGTAGGTAGCCAGGCCCAGCTGGAAGTTGTGGCGTGGGCAGGTCTCGGAGCACTTCTTGGTGATCCTCTTCCATAGGGACAAAAAGCCTTGTCCAAAGAAAGGAGAGAGCAGTCTTAGCAACGAGAGTTTGTTGAGTGCTCCTCAATCTTGTACAAGAGGGAGATGGGGAGATGAGTCCCACTGTCCTCCCACAGCCCCAAGGACCAGCATGGCCAGTGAGACCCACCCCAATCCCACTGCAGCCCAGTAATTGCTGGTGCCCAGCTACACAAGGCATAGAATCATAGAATGGTTTGGGTTGGAAAGGACCTTATGATCATCCAGTTCCAACCCCCTGCCATGGGCAGGGACACCTTCTACTAGATCAGGTTACTCCAAGCCCTGGCCTTGAACACTGCCAGGGATGGGACATTCACCACTAAATATCCCTGCTCCGTTCAGTATCTCTGTTGGGCATCTTTCACCTCACAGCATGGACCCTCATGTCAAGGCTTTTTTAGTGTTATGATGGTACCCATGAGACAATGTCCATGCCTGGACTGAAAGCACATCTCAAGGCCCCTCTGCTTGAAGGAACTAATTTAATTCCCCTTTACATCTCTCTAGATAGATCTTCTTATCCTGGCTCCCTGCTTCTTTTCATCTCCTTGTCTAATCAAGATTCAAATTCATTCATTCTTCCTCTGGAGGATCCTCTCTTAGCCCTTCCTCTTCTCTCAATGTCCTCTGCCTTTCCATGCCATCATGAAATCAAAGCTAAAGAGAAGCTGTGATTGGGAGAAGGACTTCAAACAGTCCAAACTTCATCACTGTAAGCCTGGGCTAGCAAACGTTCCACCTCCTGCATGTGCTTCCCCATGACTCCTCACCCCATCCATCAACAAAAGGCAATCATCACAAACCCAGTCAACGCCCCACATCCCATTCCTGAGACCCCATCAGAGGATACATGCCCAGCACATACCAACTCCTACAGAGGCAACATTGGTCACACAGTACTCATCCTTGTCTGAGCACTTATTGGCCTTCAGACAGCTCCAGTTGCTTTGCTCCCACTCGCAGGTGTAGCAATACAGGCCAGTTGCTGCAGGAGGAGACACAAGGTACGAAAGATGGAGACAAAATGCAACCAGTCCCGGCAGCAAAAATTGCCTCCTTCTTTCTGTCAACTCTCAAATGCATGAGGTGCAGGTTTGCTGAAGGTGATGGGACTGCAAGAGCCCAGACCAAACCCACTCCCTCATCCACACACTTGAATTTTACACCCAACACATGCATTCAAGCACACATATCTGTGCAGACAGGCATTGATGATGCAAGTCTGTCCTTCCTGGCCTGCACTCAATAGCACAATCATGTAGAGAGCTTACCAACACAATCATAGAATCATAGAATCATGGAATGGTTCGGGTTGGAAAGGACCTTAAGATCATCCAGTTCCAACCCCCTGCCATGGGCAGGGACACCTCACACTAGACCATGGCACCCAAGGCTCTGTCCAACCTGGCCTTGAACACTGCCAGGGATGGAGCATTCACAACCTCCCTGAGCAGCCCATTCCAGTGCCTCACCACCCTCAGAGTAAAGAATTTCTTCCTTATCTCCAACCTAAACTTCCCCTGTTTCACTTTGAACCCATCACCCCTTGTCCTATCGCTACAGTCCCTGATGAAGAGTCCCTCTCCAGCATCCTTACAGCCCCCTTCAGACACTGGAAGCTGCTCTGAGGTCTCCACGCAGCTTCTCTTCTCCAGGCTGCACAGCCCCAATGTTCTCAGCCTGGCTCCATACAGGAGGTGCTCCAGCCCCTGAGCATCCTCATGGCCTCCTCTGGACATGTTCCAACAGCTCCACGTCCTTCTGATGTTGAGGACACCAGAACTGCACACAGTGCTGCAAGTGGGGTCTCACCAGAGCAGAGGGGCAGGATCACTTCCTCCAACACAATGGGCCAAGGGCACCTGGTTTGTTGTGATGCAGGAAGTGGGGAAGAGCAGGGTCTTTTGTAGGAGTCTATAAAGATGTCACGAGGGTAGATGTCCCCTTTCTAGCTGTTAGAGACTATTAGACTACTGCCTACTTGAGAAGTAAGAATTGGCAGTTGAATAGGGTTAATTGGGACCTCTACAGCCTAAGGAAGTCAGTCTCCCATGCCCACATCTTTGAGGGGGACTCCAATGCCCTCAAACATATATTCAGTACCTGGGTTAAAAGACCACAAAGGTGAGGAGAAGGGCTTTTAGGGTGTGAATTCAGCCCTAAGACACAAGGAGTCTAACCCTTCATTTCTACTGCTAGGTTACCTAATGCAAATTAGGGCAATCCTCATTTTGGCACTGAAGACAACCCCTCTGTCCCCTGGGTCTTGTTAACACTTGGGAATTGCTACTCTGGTAAGTGAGCCAAGCCAAAGAGCAGCAAGGTTTTCTTAGGCCACAATGAGGCAGAAATGACTATTCCAAGAATTCATTTTCCTGCACCAGACAATGTGGCAGATCTCTAAGTGCTGGCAAACCCTGTTTCTCTTTCCAAAATGAGGATAACATTCAGTTATGAACTGCCTTTCCTACAGAGACTACAAGAACATACATTTAGAAGGCTCTGATTTCATTTGCATTCTCTCTGTGAAATAAAAGACATAATCTATAATGCAAATAAGACGCAAATATACATCTTCACCCAATCTCCCATCATAAGGCTGCTTAACCCACTCAGTCCACAACCCAAATTATCCCAAATTCTCCAACTTTGACCCAAAATCTCTGAAATCAGGAAGTCGGGACTTTGAGTTGGGCAGAAATCAGGGATGATCAGTAGTGAGCTGTGCAAAGGGCAGATGCTATAGGTCTGGCCCTGTCCTATGGCTGCTGCTAGAAATGGACTGTGGTAGGAAGCAGATGCATAGAGTTGCTGATGCCTTGTGCTTTCATGGGCTGAAGCACTTCTGCATCAAGATTTAGAAACAGCCACAGTCTTGCATCACCTCAACAGACAAAAGCACTGGGAAGCAACTTCCTCCTTTTTGATTCCTTGTTTTCACAAAACCCAGTAATACATGTGTCCATAGGGAAATTTCCCTGCATAAAATAAACCTTTTACACATCCAGGCTGAGAACACAGATTAGAAACCCCAAAATGGAGCACCGTGTCCTTCATCTGCACCATTGCAAGAGCTAAGACGCCCTCTCCCATGCTTCATTCCGTGTCTACAAAGCCTCCCTGACTCTAAAACACACAATTATTCTTTATCTAATAGCAAACCATGATACCTCACCTTGACCTGCACATAGGATCAAAGCCAGCACAGCAAGGAGAGAGGCCTTCATCTTCTCTGAGTAGTGTCCAGAGCTCGGGAAAAGCACCCTCACCTGAGGACAGGATATTTATCTTCCCTGCCTTTGGATGGAGTGATGATGAAGACAATGATTTGGAAACAGTGGGCAGGGATCCCGCATTATTGAGAGGCGAGGAATGCACGCGGGTTGTTTTCTCACCATGGTATTGCCTTCAGGCTGCTCTGATGGGTCCAAAGAGGAGTGAAAGCACTAAAGCGATTCATTCCATTTATTGCTTTTAATACTTTAATTTACCTATGGTCAGGCTAGCAGTGCTCCTGATGTCTGAGTGGGGTTTTTGTACTGTTCAGCTCCAATCTGATCATCGCATCTGTGGCCAGGTAGTTCAGTGAAGGCAGCTATGCAAAGCAAAATGGTACCGAGTAAATGAATGGCTTCATCTATGTGGATTACTGCCAGGGTTAGACCTGGAGAAGTCCCAGTATCTACAGTCAGGTTAGATCTCGTTGTATATTCGTGGCTGGCAAGATAAACAGGAAATGCCTTAGAAATTCCTGATAGCCTATAAAAGCTGCTGGTTACCTACAAAGTCCTAAATGCTCCCTGTCCTGGTTTTCAGAGGTGCTGCTGCATGAGGGCAATGGCTTTAGTGTTCAAATGCAGAGGCTGGGACACTGGAGGTTGGTTTCTAGCTATGCAACAGCTTTTCTTTGCTCTATCTGAGGAAAGGATAGAAATGACTTTCTGCACGGAGCATCTGATTCCAAGTCCAATCAGATATAATGTTCTAAGCCTGTGTGATTTCTCTGCATGCTTATAGTTTAGGTGGAGCTGGAGCTGGCAATTTCAGCCCTTCTGGGGCCCCCGTTTAAGTGCCTGTCCTGCTTCTGCTTCCAAGGAAAGAGCTAGGAGGAGGTTTGGTGCTGGATATCAGCAGACATCTCCATGACTCACCACTCAACAAGCCACCGAGGAGTGGAGAGGATGAAGTAGGATCAGCTTGGGCAATCAACTCTCTGCTTGCCCCTTCCTTCTCCACCCCGTACGACTTGGTCTGCTGGAAGAGAAGAGAGACCCAACTATAGCTACACTGGTTGGGGTTTAGAAGATGGAGAAGCAGAAGAAGAGGCAGAGGCTGGGAAAACATGTGGAAGAAAGAGATTAAATGGATGAGGGAAGGGCTAAAATGACTCGGGGACAACATTAGTTTTTAGGCAGGAGATTGGTCAGATGAGTAAGCAACCCTGAAGCAGGGTTCATGCTCCTAAAAGACATCTAAAGCATGTGATGGGACTGATTATTACACATCACAATGATGGCATACACAGAGAGAGGAAGTTCAAAGGGACACCGAAACCCAAAGCATCTTGCTTTTCAAGACAAAAAGAAGAGGGGGGAGATTATTTAAGTGAGCTTTTTTGGCTGATTTGCAGCTATTTTTGAGGTTCCCGACACCAGAATAGGTCTCCCAATACAGGTGACATAAAGCAGGATCAACCGGACAGTGAAGTCAGCCCTGATAACCCCACGAGCACTCACCATTCCTCTCCAACAGACATACAACTTCAGGGTGTGGAGAGGATAAGCCACATCTCTTGCCCAAGAGATGAAATCCTGCCAGAGCCAGGGACTGCATGCCACTGGGGATGCTGGAGAAGGTGTGTCAGTGCTCCCAGAAGTCACAAGGCAGGGGATGAAGATAGATCTATTCCAGAGAATAAGGATTGCCCAGTGTGATTCACTGCGTGGTGTCCTCCTGGAGGGGTGACACTTTGGGAATCAGCCTGGGAAGCCAAGGCTCAGTGTCCAGGAGCAGCCTGGCAAAGATTGTGCTGATAAAGCAGTTTGGCTTTAACCAGATTTGACTGCTTTTGGAGGAAGAATCATAGAATTATGGAATGGTTTGGGTTGGAAGGGACCTTAAAGCTCATCCAGCTCCAGCTCCCTGCCATGGGCAGGGACACCTTCCACTAGAGCAGGGTGCTCCAAGCCCCTGTGTCCAACCTGCCCTTGAACACTGCCAGGGATGGGGCAGCCACAGCTTCTCTGGGCACCCTCTGCCAGCACGTCAGCACCTTCACAGGGAAGAACTTGTGCCTAAGAGCTCATCTCAGTCTCCCCTCTGGCAGGCTAAAGCCATTCCCCTTGGCCTGTCCCTACCTGCCCTTGTAAAAAGAAGGGGAAAACAATTGTGTTACTCTTCAGTATGATTATCAAGGTGCATTTTTTACTTCATTCCTTATTATTTAAACAAAGAAATGTGCCTGACTCACTTCACCCCTCACTTCCAAGGACTGATGGTGTGAACATCTCTCTGACACGGAGCTGAAGAGAAGTCACCTGGTCCAGGGATCCAAACCTCCTCACTGACAGCAGGAAGATGACCTGCAAGGCCACAGGATGTGGTCCCCCACTGGCAGGAGTGGTTTGATGGACAAGTGTGATGATGGATAAGGGTGCACAATGGGCTGCTTGGCATTTAGAGGGTTGCCGGTGGCCCATTGAGGCAGATAGTTGGGAAGTTACCATCCTGGCCTCAGGTATGGCTGATGCAGATGTGTGAGGTGTAGGACTGCCATGGCTGGCATTTCCTCAGAGGCATAGATGGGAGACTGAGGATGGTGGGGTCACCCTGGATGGCCAACACATGGAAGCAACATGACTGCAGCATGGAAAGCAGTGCTTGGGTAGGGCAAGGTGGAAAACGGCAGTAAAGGAGTCAAGTATCCAGCATTACAGAGTAGAAATGAAGCTACATCCATATCAGTATACTAAATGTGTCCAGCATTGTGTCCAGGACCATGTCCAGCATGGAGGCCACGAGGTGGACATCAACAGTGCCTGTTGTGAGTCCTTCCATTGTGCTATCTCCTCCGTTTTTCTTCCAGACATTGCATGGGGCAATGGTGGTTGCTCCATGTTAAAGCCTTGCCAGGTAACAGGCTAACAATGATTAGTGAAACGTGGATGACAGCATTCCAGACCAGGAATGTTCCCAGGAACTGTTTATTTCCCTAGGTTAGCTTCAGCCTTGGAGATAGAGCCTTGCAGGAACATGAATCACATCCTTCAGGATGACAGCTTGGTCCCTGATTTTACTCTTGGCTGTGCCATCCATACTGCATATACATACATACATAGTGTACTGCACAACTGTGTTGGAGCTGGAGAGTAAACACAGCTCTATTTGGTTGCCCTCTGCAGTGTTATGGCCATTGAGTCTTCCTGGATGTAGAACAGAGATCAGAAGTCAAAGAACAGGAGTAAGCCAAGGCTCTGCTCATCTTCTGAGAGCCTCATACTGAGCTCTTCTTACAGGGCAAGTGACCACATATGGAACCACAGCAGCAAAGAGGGACAAGCACTACAACTGGGTCTCATGGGGTCTTTTCCTTTTATATGCCCTGATGTTTTAAACTGTTCAGCTTCCTGTGGTCAGAGCATGATGTCTGCCTCATCACTTCTTAGGTGGCATCTCAGAAGGTTCCCAAATATTGCCATTTATCCCACTATCACCCCAATCTGTATGTATTCCCATTTCCCACCCACCTCCTAGTACACCAGGGTCTGCAGGACAGAACTGGTCCTCAGTACCATGCATGATTGCACCACCAGGGCTTTTCCAGCCTTAAGTAAAACCTATTGAAGCAATTGCAGAATGAAATCCGGTCTTGTTCCACATCCTTCATTTTGGATGGGGTTGGAGAGCAGGAAGATGCCAGGTTAACACGATAGAACTTGTTTTTGGCAGGGAAGACAACAGTCTGAAGCCTGCATTGCCCTGGGAGGAGAAGAGGCAGATCTGTGTGATGAGCAACCCCTGGCAAAGGCAAGATCCAGCTCTTCCCATCCTTGAGTCCAATGACAGTGGCTGAATAGTGATTTCCTTCTGGCTCTTTCTCTCCATCTTTCTCCTCCTCCCTTGGGCATTTACTTGTGCTTGGTCTAGCAAAGCCCATTCTTTGTATGGTTGTGACCTCCCCAAAAGCAGGACAAGTTGGGTTGACACCATCCTCCCCCTGACTCAGATCTGTCCCCATCTCAGACCTTCACAGATGTCCCAGTGCTTAACTCCCCATGAAAAGGGGAGCTTGGATCTAACCCTACCCATGGGAATACTGCAAAGTAACACGGTCTTAAACCCTGTGGTTTCTCCTGCCCAACTTCCCATGCAGTGGCCAGGAACTCATCATGGAAGTCCTGCTGTGGAACAGGAATACTCAGGTGCAAGAGCACAGCGCAGGCAGCCTGGGGCTAGGTTACACCGAGGTGTTGAAATCCTGATGAGAACCTGCCCCTTGGCTTCCTCTCTTTCAAGCAAGGCAGGGATATGATGCCCCAGGGGCATCCTGAATCTAATTACCAGTATTACTTGGTTTTATGGCATCTCTGGGACTCCTCTATTGCCCAAATCCCAGCTTAGTCTTGGTTGTTACACACAGGATCATACCTGTACGTGGGGCCATTAATAGGGATATCCAGCAGTGGTGTCCAGGTATACCAAGCTCCAGAGGAGGTCATCACCCTCCCAGCTGCCCTTGGGGGTGGAACCACACTGCAACATAGCTGTAACGGAGGCAGCTAAGTCTATACAAGTAATACATGGAGAGCCCATGGACTTTCAAGGGCTGCCCCATGGCTGTCCACACTATTTAGCTGTTAGCATGGGTTTGGCCTGACCAACTAGGACCACCCCTGACAACGCCAGATCTGCTTTCCAATGTGTGTTTTGGATTCAGCCATCTTATTTTAGAGGGAGAGAGCTCAGTTATACACATGGGCACTAACTGAACCCAGGACCAGAAACCAACACAGGACATTTCATTTCCTTTATGCCTTCCCAACACTGTCCCAGACCTTGTCAAGACCAGAGTTTAGACAGGATACCAAAACAACACCATTGGAGGTGCAGATTCATTGTTCTTTCCAGACCTTTCCCTATAAGCCTTTAGAAATATCTGCCTGGATGGAACAGTAAGAGACACAATCTGATCTGAGGCTGTGCTGATCAGGATTGTATCCTCCTCCTCCTCACCTCCATCTCTGTGTATCTGCACAAACCTGACCACATTGCTTGCAAACCCCAGCCCTGCTGTTATAAATAACTGAATAAAAAAGAATAAATAATAAACATCTTGGAAAGTTCTTGTTTCATGTTATTAATGGTGGCTGCAGAGCGCTGTTGCATGAGAAGCTATAAAAGAATAACTATAAAGCTATAAGAAGCTACAGAAGAGGGATCTCTATCAAGTCAAGCTAGCTTCAGACTGATCTTTTCATGCCTGAACATCTGATGCTCAGAAGACATTCACAGGGGCAGATGGGTAAAATGACTGCAGGTGTTGGAGGACCAAGATGGGTCAAGCAGCTTCAATAGGGACCTCATCAAAACTCCAGCCCAGAGAAGGGCCTTGGTAACACTGCTCAGAACTGCAGCCCCCAGCACTATTGC